GAGTGCCAAACTCAAATCTTCCTCTTTGTTGTTGACCCACTTCATGGAACCCAGATGGTGATGCTACTGTAGTCATCTACCCTCAACATCACCCCTCCCTCCTGTCTGCTTAGTATATGCCTCACTCCAGGCTTAGGCTCTCATATACATCTCTGTCTATGCTTCCTGAAGACTTCCTTAGAGAGCTTCTCCAAGGAAATTTCTTTAGAAATAGATCACCTACCATACTGATTCAGAAGTCCTAACTACTAAAATTCTGAGTTGTTTATTGTTCATATTCATTGCTGTACACTGTGCAACTCTAAGTAGCATTATAGGTGAAGTGGGAATCTTTTTTTTAAATGTCTTTTACTTTATTTTTTTATGTGGTACTGAGGATGGAACCCAGAGCCTCATGCATGTGAGGCAAATGCTCAACTACTGAGCCACAGCGCCAGCCCCTGAAGTGGGAATATTTAAGACAGTTGTTGTTACTGTTGTTGTAATAAAGCCTTATCTTATTTTTTCACAGAATGGAAGATTTTGATTGATATTTAGGAGATATGAAAGAGTCTAGCTAGTGGCAGGAGAATTTCCTATATTTAAAATCCTTTTCAGATTTTTATATTTAAGGTCCTTTTTATATTTTTTGACGTGTCTTCAGTAATGCAAAATTGGTTTAGAGGACTAATAATATGCTACTTATTAAGCACCTAATATGCATAATAACATACATTAGACAGACTGAGGGCTGGGTGCTTAATCACGAATAATTATATTTAATTTAAAAGACACCTGAAATGTGCCATTTTTACCCTCTCAACCCCTCTAATTATTTACTTTTTTCTCATTTCTGGCACAACAAATCTTGAATATTTTCTGCATTCATTGGCTTCATTTCCTCACTTTCCACTCATTCTGACACTCAGTACAATCTGGCTAGTTTCTACCCTCTTGTGATGGTTGACGCATCATAAAGTGACCCCCAACAAGCTTTGCCCTCCTATGACATTGAGTCTGGGTGGAGCCTGTGACTTGCTTCTAACTAAGAAAATATGGCAAAGTTGATGAAATTTTGCTCCCATTATTATGTTACATTGTATATGATCCTCTTTTGGCAGAATGAAGCGATAGATTCTCTTGCTGACCTTGATGAAGCAAAGAGACATACTGTGAACTAGCTGTGGAGAATCCCTTGTTGGGGAACTGCTGTGGTCTGTAGGTTCAGGAAACCTCCAATAGTCAGTATTTTTAGAAACCTGTATCCTCTGTCATACAGCCATGGGGAAATAAAATCTTTCAATAACCTTAGAAACCCGGGAAGATACTTCCCTACTTGCACCTCTAGGTGAGAATGCCATCTGGTTGGCACTTTGGTTGTAGCTCATGAGGCCCCAGAGCAGAGGACTTGGTTAAACTTTGCACAGACTCCTGGCCATGGAAATTGTGAGATGGTAAATGTGTATTGTTTCAAAGGCAGTAAGTTTGTGGATTTTTTTTTTTTTGGCAGCAGAGAACTAATACAGTTTTTGGTGCCCAGAAGTATAATGAGTGCTTCTGTAATAAATATCTAAAACTGTGGCAGCAGCTTTGAAACCAACCAATGGGGCAGAGACTAGAAGACTTTTAAGGGGCATGACTAGAAAGCTTTAATCACTTCAGACAGACTATTGGTAGATATCTGGTCATTAAGATATGCTAGTAGGTTCTCACCAATGAATGAGGAACTAGTGAAAGAAGGATCTTTTTAATGTAGCAAAAAATGTTTCCTGTAGTTACTTGGAAAACAGAACTAAATTGTCAGGATCCTAATATGTAGTTAAGATAATTTTCAAGTAAAGTGTTGAAAGTGCTGAGTGCTGTCAGGTTTATTCTTGCTTCTTATAGTGAAGTGTGAGAGGAGAGAGATGTTAAGAACTGCTAAACAGAATAAACTAGGACTCTTACCAGATGATAATTCTCTACCTCTCCAGACGGCAAAAGATGACAAAAGCAAGATTGTCACTGTCAGTAACGTGTTCTAACTAGTGAGAAGAACAAGGTGTAACTGGACAATCTTTTGCTCCTATTTCAGAAAGATCATAAAGCCAGAATATTCAGTGTAACACTGCTCCCTTTTGAGGATATGCCGTACAAATATCTTAACCAGAGGACCTCTAAAGGTTTCAGGATATTGTCCCTCATGCATCTCAGCCAGAGGCCAAAGTAGAGAAGGAATTTTCTTGCAAAAATTAGTGAATATGGCTTTTGTCTAATGGAGAGAATGAGTGCCTGTGAAATGCATTAAAGGTCTCCAAATTCTTAAGACAATTATTTCTGTAGAAACCAGTTTGGACCGAGAGAGAGAGAGAGAGAGAGAGAATGAAATGAAAGGTTGTCAGACCTCTAAAGCATTCTGACAGGAAGCAGATTAATAGAATAACTCAGCTGAAAACATGTTCAACCTTTTATGAAAAAGCAATAATGACCCAGAGGGCAAGACCAGGAACCTACAGGGTAGAATGAAGAGCCAGAGAGAATAATTCTATGCCTTGAAACGTAATCAAGAGACTCTGGATGTCTGCTCAAAAAAGAGCTGCCATGGACCACTGAGGGCTTTTTATCCTCCATTCCCCCTCCCCGCACCCCCCTTGAACTGGAATGCTGTGGATATTATCCTGTGCTTATCCCACCATTGCATGTTGGGTGTTTCAGAGATAAATAGTTTGCATCTTTCATTTCACAGGCCCTTAGATGGAAAGGAATTGTGCCCCAGAAGTGGTACTTAAGTGAATAATACTCAAAGTCCTCATCTAGACTTGGACATGATTTAAATAATGAGATTTCAGACTTTGATCTGATGGAGTAATGAAATGAGCCTTTTGGAGGCACTGGAATGGAATGTATTTTGCATGTGGCAGGGATATGGAGTCATTGGGGCCCAGAAAGCGGACTGTGACAGACTCATTCTGTAGTTGTCCTCAGTGAATCATGCCCTATATAATTTTCTTCCATTTTTTGAGTGTTGACAGGATGTGTGACTTGCCTCTAACCAGTATGCAGAGCAAAAATGTCATTCCCTGATTATTTTGCATTTTCTAAGACTCCCTCTTTAACAGACTGGAAAGAGAGATTTTTGGGCTGGTCTGTAGGGCTAGTCTGTAGGTTGTGACTGCTTATGCAGAAGGTCATGTGGTGGCAAACTTCAGGTAGCCTCTAGTATCTGAGTGCGGCCAACTGCTAGCAAGAAGCCAGGACTCGGAGTCCTGGAGTATCAAGGAAATTAATTCTGCCAGTGATATATTAGAAGCTTGGAAGGTGATTCCCCCACTCAGGTTTCCAGAGGAGAATGCAGCTCAGCTGACAACCATGATTGCAGCTTTGTGGAATCCTGAGTGGAGGACCTAGTGAGCCATTCTTGATCTCCTGACCTGTGGAAACTGGGAGATAATAAATGTGTTACTTTAATATGCTCAATTTGTGGTAATTTAAAGTAATATAAAATGATTACAGTGCGCTTGCTATTTTCATTGGTGAGTTCCTTACTGCAAATTCAGTGGTCATTCCTCAGATTTGAAGTTGTTCAATTCTTCATTCTTTCAGGAATATTCCTTTATATTTGCTTTGACCTCCCCCAGCTCCTGTTGCTCTGGCAGGAAGCCCAGTATCATTGCCGATCCTATTCTACCTACCCAATGGTGGTGGTCTTTTGGTTCTGTTTTTAAAATAGTCCTTCAAACCTGCTTCTTTTCTCTATTTTTATGGTCATTATCCTGGTTCATAATATACGTTTAATTGTTTTCCCTTGAGTGATAGTAACAGCATTGTACCCCTCAAAGCTGTTACCCACAGAAGCCATGATAGTGTTTTCAGAATATCAGTATGCCTTATCGGCCAACCCTCACTCCCCAGATCTATAAAGTAAGACTTTATACAGTACTGAGGGAGGGAAAGATGGGGGAAGCAGGAGGAAGTAAAGATGTGGTCATTTTAATTTAAATGAGATGGAAGGCTGGAATAGATTCAAGTGTTTAGGGACCAAAGGAGACAGTGAAAGGGCAAAGGTTCAAAAAAGGAAGGAAATAACAAAGCGTGCTCAGCCGGGAGCAGAGGAGATGGTGTTAAGAGTGAGCTCTAAAAAGGAGAAGAAATCATTCAAAGACAGGAAAGAAAAGGGTGGGAGCAGAGGAGATGGTGTTAAGAGTGAGCTCTAAAAAGGAGAAGAAATCATTCAAAGACAGGAAAGAAAAGGGTGGGAATGGCTGAAGACATAGATATACTAAAAAGCAAAGAGAAAGAAAATTGAGAAAGCAATCCAAATTTCCATGGTAAAGTCATGTGCTGAGAGTGAGGACAGAAGGATGGATGTTGAGGTGGGTTGTAAACGTGGAGTAGATGTTAAGGGGAACAGCAAAGACACTTAGCGCATCCAAGTTAAATCTGATGACTTCTTTAGCAATTTAGTTCATTTTTAAAAAGGGAATAGCAATTAGCATTTCTATTAGGTAAATTTGATTTCTTTCATTAATTGGTTTCAACTATTTTGACTAAATAATGAGTAATTTTTGGTGGTGGTTTATTTTCTGCTGCTCAGAGAACCCTAGTAAGAGCACAGCATAACCAAATAAAAGTTGATTCAAATTATATTAGATATTTTCAACACTATTACTACCTAGTAGCTTTTCAATTATTTCACACAGGGAAATGACTAGGAAATTGGTCATAAACTGGTCAATAAATGTAAGTCTGATTAAGACCATTAGAAAATAATTATTAGAATTTAAAACATAGTTTCAAAAATTCATGTGTGTGAGCCTAAGTCCTGGTTTATGAGGTGTGAACTCAGGAGCTCACCCTGGAACTGAGTCTTCTTCTTGGGTAAGACCTGTGATCTTTATCAGATCCCTGTGAAGTGGGAACACAGCTTCCTTATCTGGGTTCTTTTTAACATTGAAGATTGTAATGTTAAATAAATATCAGAAAGAAACAGTCCCTTCATATATATATATATATATATGTAATTTTAATTTTTATCATTCTAGGAAGCTCTGAGAATGCTTAAGAAGGCATTGGAAATCTGTTCTTGTTCTCTCAAAGGACAAAATGCTGCAGCTTTTTCATCAGAGTGTCTGTATAACTTGGGTCTTTGTTACATAGAAGAAAACAACTTCCAAATGGTATTTTGTGTTCTTAGAAGCATAGATTATGTGGTTTTAGAAACTGGTTGCTTGTATTCAGTTTTATTTCTGGAGGCTTATCTAGACAGTACAGGGAGTGATTAGACCAAAAGTTTAAAATGGTTGGCTTATTATATAGTCAGTCTGCACCCTGAAATTCTCATGAATTATTTTATATAATCAACACATTTTATTTGATGTTAGTTTTTGACAATTAATCTAAAGACCAATATGTGTTTTCCACCAAAAATATCTAAATATAGGAAATTATTACAGCAAAGCAGTGCTATTTTATTATTAATATGACTGCTTATTAAACTCCAAGTAGTTTATATTGAGAGCTTCAACATATTGTAGAATAAAAGAGAAATTATTAGAATACTCTTTAACTTATCTTATTGAGAACTGATTAATTCCAATCAGATTGAAACTGGTTATTAAGATGGCTGGGTTCATTGAAAACCAGTTAATTCAATTATTATGGATTTATCCAGCCTTTGACTACTTTACACACTTCAAAATGGTCACTGATATGAAGAATATGTAAAATAATTGACATTATCCCATGGTTATTGTTGGATATACCACAACTCCATTTTTGCATACACATACACAATCACACAAATACACATGCATCATTCCAATCCTTCCTTATATATACCAGATGGAGAGTATCTTAAATTTGCATATAAGAAAAAGAATTGTCCACTAAGTTGTTCATTAAATATAAGATTAATTATAACATTTTTTATACTTTTAGTCCTTTTGGACAACAGGGAAAACTTGGCTATGCTTTACAATAAAAGTTCTGTGTTCTGAGTTTTCATAATCATATATCTGCTATGATTCTCAGACTACCATGGATAATAAATGATGCTGGTTGCACTTTCTTTGAAGGAATAAAATCCAAAAACTAGTGATGAAAATTATGCCTATGAAAGCACTGTAATCTAACAGCATGGATTATGTAAACATTCACCTGGAAACAAGGGGATTTTTAAATATAATACTAAATCTAAGTTGTTTCCAAATATTGATTTGCTTGTCCCAAAATTTTCTGTGGGAGAATATATTTTAAATTACTAGAAAATTGAGTGAAACTTTTCAACAAAATTTACATATTGCAATTTATTAACCTTCTAAACTAAGACATTCTGTCACTAAGTGGTTTGTGCTTTAACAATATGCCCTTCTAGGCTTTTGATTCTTTTACAAAAGCTGTGAAAGCAAATCCTGATTTTGCAGAAGCTTTTTATCAACGAGGGTTTTGTAAAGTAAAACTCCACAAGGAAAGCTCAGTTCTGGACTTCAATCGTGCAATTACGATCAATCCGAAACACTACCAGGTATTTAAATACATAATGATAATGATTTGGAAAATTTGTTAATTTTGGCAAAACTATTAAATCTTTTATATGCTTTTGCTATTAGTTAGCAACAATTGGTTACTTGTACGTACTTTTCAACAAACATATATCTGTATTTTATCTGTACGTACTTTTCAAAATCCATATATCTATATTTCTTCTTGAACTAAATATTTTTTCCCAACAGAGATATTATGTTTATTCAAGTGCTTTGTCAGTTTGGATGTATGTAAATATGCTAATTTATTAATTTTTGTGTTTATAATTTTAATTTACATACTGTTATCAACTTTATTTATTTATTATTTTGCTATCACATTTATTTCTGTCTTTTAATAGACTGTGGAGACAACACAAAATTTAATAGGTGAAGTGTGACTGGATCCTGATTTTAGAAGACGATGAAATTAAACTTGAACTGGCTAAATAATGGATACTTTTAGGGAATTACTAGAAATCTTCTTAGAGATATATTGGCAGTGTAGTTACTTAGGGCAATCTCTTTTTTCCATAGTAGATGCATACTGAAGGCCACAAGGTGAAAAATTTTGATGGCTACAACTTATTTTTCCATACTTAAGGAAAAAATAAAATAAATATGGCAAACGAAGTGCTAATAATTATTGAATCCAGGTGATAGATACATGGGTGTTCATTATACTATCATTTCATTTATTCTATATGTTGGAATTTTTTTCTAATAACAGAGTGGGGGAAAAGAGTATATCTTAATACTGTCTTTGGACATACTTCATCTCTGGACATATAATTTTTATGATGGCATGATAGTCCAACATCATTTATGTCTTTGGGTGGCATAAATTTGTTCATAGATTTTTGGTAGAACTGATGATTTCACTAAAACCTCTATTTCTGCTTTCTCTTCTCTTTCTCTGAAAGGCATACTTAGGCCGAGTAGCCTACTATGGTTTAAAAGGCAGATTCTCCAAAGCAATTTTGAACTGTAACGAGGCAATCAGTATTTATCCTGAGAGTGTGCGCGCCTATGTCTGCAGAGGAGCTCTGAAATACTACAGCGGGGTAGGCCACCTCCTGCCTGGTTTACTGAAATTGTAGATAGTAGAGGAACTCACTTCCCTTTTTTCCCTCTGTAATAGGAGAATTGCTGTGGTATAAAGAGCAGAACTACATAGAATACTTTTTTCATCGTGCACTAAAGGGGATTTCAGTTCATGATTTTTCACAAAATAGTGATATTTATTTTTGATCTTTACATTTAAAATAACATCATTATTATTTTATTTTTAAAGAAAGTAGAAACATTTTGTTATGGGGGAGAGGTTCCTCACCTCTTGTGTGCTAGGAAGAAAGATTTCCTTCAAGAGACATAGAAGACAGAGAGAGGAATCAGCAGGGTTTCCCACATGGCAGGTTTTTTTTTTTTTTTAATTTGGTCTGGGAAACTTGTTCCTCAATTTTGAATTTGATTTGCAATGGTTACTGAGGTTTTCCATCATGGCTTAGTGTGCCTGCACCAATTTCCAAATTCATGTTGAAAAATTTCCCAGTATAGACTGCTCCCTTTTGATTGACAGGAAACTAGCTGTCTGTCTGCAAGAAGTTGGTCCCTGGGCATTGTGAAGACCAGCAGGGTTCTTCCCAGGAGCAGAGCCTGAATTTCTTCTCCCTACCAACTTTATTCATGTCTGTATGGCTACCTAGTCTAACATATTCATTGTAGGCAGTTTGGAAATAAAAGCAATTAAAAAGAAATAAAAAGAAGGGAATAAAGGATTACTATCTTACCATCAAATTATAATTTTGAGAGCATTTTTCAAGTATTTGCAGTTAGTCTTTTATTTTCCTGAAAATATATGACATGGGTTTATGCTATTTATATAATTTGTATTGTGTCCTGCTTTTTATACTTTATCTCTGGACATATAATTTTTATGATGGCATGATATTTCAACATCATTTATTTTTAACCACTTGATTGTTGGATATTTAGGATGTTTTAAAATTTTTACCATTTTATCATTTTAATAGAGTTTTAGACCTCTGAGAACAAAATCATTACTTGAATTCATGATTGGTTCTTAAACAGAAATTACTGGGTTAGATGCTCGAGCAGCACTGTTGATATCTGAAGCTGTGTGGAGTACTTTGCTTCTCCTTACTTTGCTTTTTTGAACTTTCTTTGTAGTTATTTCATATGAAATATTTTGCAAATGACACCTAAAGCAAAAGTAAGATCTTGCATTATGTGTTAATTCCATGAAAATTACTACCTATAGTATGCTATAAGTTATAAGAAAAGAATTGAAGAGGAACGAAAGAGAACATGGGAAGAAAACCTGATGATCATGCATAGGGTAGTCTGAGTGACAAAAGTAAGCAACTTCTGGCAAATGTTTGCTAGATGAATATGGGTTGATTTTCTTTTACCCATCAGTATAATTTTTCCATGCCATTCAGCAACATTGGAAATAAAATAATTGTCTAAATTAAAGTTGTTGATATCTTTAATTTTGTTTGTGGTTGAAAGAAACTAAGAATTCCTACTAGGAGATTCTTAATTAACTTTGTGGAAGATTAGGTTGATTGTCTTCATTTCACAGATGATATACTGGTTACATGAATGTTCCAGAAACTCTGATAGGATCAAGGATTTAGTTTTGCAATTAAATTTCAGTCCATTATTATTTACCCTTCTTTATTATTATTATTACTATTATTATTGTTGCAGAATTACAGGCTAGCTATTGAAGATTTAACTACAGCTATCAACATGGACAAAAAGTGTTATGTAGCATTTTATAACAGAGCATTATGTTATATCAAGACAAATGAACTTCAAATGGTGAGATGATCATTTAGTAAACAATAAGCTTAAACCATTTAAAAAACAATATTTACTTAATGGCTTGTTGATATCAATAAATAACATTGATTAAACAATATGTTAAAGTACTTGTAAACATATTTAAAGCATCTGTAAAGTATTTTCCCATTTTGTCTATAACTTTGGCAAGTAATTCCTATGGAAATATACCATGTAAAACTGAAGTACCAAAGAACCATTTATAATACTATTTCTGTTAGTTTTCTTACACTATTTCTATAATAAGTAAAAAATTAATTTTGTAATGCTAATATAAACATTTAAAGTTTGAATAAATTAAAATACACTACATAAGTATCATGTGAGATGTGTCTATGGATACTCTGCCTGTTGAATTTTATAGCAGTGATCACTAACAATAGTACTGTTTCACTCCTTTGATTTTAGCTAGAGCAGTTCATGGAGGCATTTTTTGGAAGGTCCTGACACTATACATGCAGTGGGGGGATTGGTGTGATGGTTTTAGTCTCTGGGGACCAGTGAACAAGATGTGCCAGTGTGTTTTGAAGGCGTAACTGTGGCTACAATAAATCCTTCTCTCCATTTGTCTTGACCCAGTGTCTACCTGCGTAAACTCTCTTTTATATTTTCCGGTCTTACTCTCATCTTCTCACTCCTTCTCAGTGAGGTCATTTTTCAAGGAGGATTCCTCAGGGTGGAGCGGCTGATCTGTGGGCTCCCAGTGTTCTGTCCTACTCATTTTGCTTCTTTTTCTTTCTTATACGCTGGTCTCCCCTCCCCCTCCTTATTTCTGCTCCTTTCCCAGTAAATGAAGTTTTTCCTTGAAAAGACTTCATCGTATTTTCACTATTCTGTGCAAACACACTCCCCAGTCTCTCTGAAACTTGGTTGTCTGTTTAAAACACTTGGAAGTTTGCAAGCTTTGAAGGGAAGAAGTTGAGAAACATGGGTTCTATTTAAGAGGATGTAAAATTCCTGGTAACCAGACTATCAGGTTGCCTCCAGAAATGTTGACAAATGAATAACTAATTTTGAACAAGGGAGTGGTTAAGATCCAAAGAGTTAATTAAAGGAGCATTTATCAGTGACCTGCACAGCAGGTGTCTGTGACAACTCCCTCTCCACCACTACTCCTACTAGAAAGGTAATCCTGAAGCCAAAACAATGGGTTGGATAGGGAAGGGACCTCCAAGTTACTCAGATACGTAAAAAAGCCAAGTCCCTGTTAATAAAGAAAATGCAAAACTGCCCGAATAGGTTGAGACTAAATTAGAACCACAAAACATTCGTGATTTTAAAGCATCCAGGACTACAGATCATTTCATTCCTTCATTTTATAGATGAGGAAATAGAAGTAGGGAGTCACACAGGAAGTCAGAAACCTGTGTGGTGTTCCAGGTTTGTTTGCTTCTGGGTTAACAGTCTTTAGGTGGCTTTACAAAGGCATCTGATCTCCAACATGTGGACCAGCAGATATCATTTAACAGTGTCACCTCCTTCCTTTTGCCGACTTCCATTCTCCACATTCTTGTCATCACTAGACTGATTTAAAAAAAAAAAAGTGTCTTTCCAAAAAAAAGCACTTAGGGATTCTTTCAAGATATGGTGAATTCTGACTCTACTATTCTATACTAATAAAAACAATAGCATTTACCTCTTATTTAGGGCTTGTTGTATGTCAAGTACTGGGTCAAATGATTGATCAAACAAAATGTTTCTAAATGAACTCTTAAAACAATATGTTAAATGTTTAATATACCAATTTGCAGAGGAGGAAACTGAGAAGCAACTTCTAATAGAGTAGGATGATACACATCCAGGAAAGGTCAAGGCCCTCACTCATTCTCTTAAAACCACTGTGCTCCCACTTCCCCACATCTGCTGACCAAGAAATCTCATTTCCTGGCAGTTGTTTCCCCTTATATCACATATTCAGCTGCTTAGCGGATCTCTAATGCACCTTACTGGTTTTATAGTCTGTGGTTCTATAAAAGGAAAAGATATGTAATTTTTGGCTAAGATTCTAGTATTTTTTTTCAAGCTTTATTATTTTTACAGTCCTGTTTATGTTTGTTTATAACTATGCCACAGTATACATATAGATTCTTTTTTTTTGAATTTTTTTTAGTTTTTGATGTACCTTTTTATTTTTTTATATTTATATGTGGTGCTGAGGATCAAACCCAGTACTTCACACGTGCTAGGCAAGCACTCAGCCACTGAGCCACAACCCCAGCCCCTACATATAGGTTCTTTAACTGAGCAATATTTTTAGACACTTAACTGCACAGTCAGGGAATGCTGGAGAAGGGCCAATCAGCACAAAGTGATATGGCACTTATTTTCCATTTTCAGTAACAGGTGCTACTAGAACATGAGATTTGGCCCTTTTCTGATCAGACCATATGACTTTTTTGGGACAAAATGCTCAGTAGGGAAATAGTTTAGGAGATATCACTCCAATCCAAATTTAGGATGCTTTTAGGACCTGGTGAACAGAGCAGAGGGCAGAAAACAAAAGCAAAAGCAAAAGCAAAAACCTGTTTATTCAGTGAAAGAAAAAAAAAAGAATAAAAATAAAGGCTACCACTTATTTTGAAAAGTGACCATGTTTATAATACTTAGCTAAGGGAACCCTGTAAATCTAGCATATGATTATTTTGGCCCCAAATGATAAGTCAAACTAAGGAACTAAGGTTGAGATCCCACTTTGTGCATGGACACATTTGTCCATGGCTAATGAACAAGGTATCTACAGAGGTATATTTAAGTTGTGATTGTTTTATTTTTAGGCCTTAGCAGATTATGGAATTGTGCTGCTGCTTGAAGCTGTAGAAAGTATAATCTTAAATACCCTCATTAATCGTGGAATCGTCTATGCTGAGCAAGAGCAGTATGGCTTTGCCTTAGAGGTGAGCTCTCCTGTGGATGTGTAAAATGAACCCACTTGATTTTATACATTCTCTTTTGAAAACTAGTGAACATGTTTTCATTGCTACCAAATGGCCATACGAATGAGTGATAACTTTAGCCACAATTGTACTGAAATACTAGGAATGATTAAAAGAACCTTTGCAAGAATGTGTATTTTTACTTCATATTGTTTACAGATAAATAGCCAGTGCAAAAGGAATAAATTCTAAATTGACCCAGACTATTACCTCTGGAAAGAAATATACACAAAATTCTTTTGTGTGGCAAATGAAATGATTTGTGTATCACATACTCTGGTGCTTGGTGCTCTTTCTCCTTGACAATTTTTTATTTTCCTGTTGAAAGCATATCAAAATAAATATATTTAAGTGATTCAGGGTGTAGTTGGTCAGAATGGGCTACTGGGAACATACTTTTCAGTTAGTGGGGACAACGTGTTCATAATTGTAATAGATGTGAGCGTATGCAGCATATTGAAAAAATAGTTTGATTTTTATTTCATTGTAAAATAAAAAAATTCATAATTGTCATTTAACTTTATTTTTATTGTCTATTTTATGGTAACTTTGGAATTAAGAAACACAAGACAAAAATCAAATAGCATTTTGAGGTTTACAGTTAGGTAATAACAGTTTTGCATGTTAGTTTCTAAGGAATTACAACCTAAACATTAGATAGTAGAGTGTTTTCCTATTTTTTTTTCACTTCCCAGGATGGTTTTTATAATTTTTGACATCTGGAGTCATCTTTTGAGATTCTGCCCAACAGAATCACTTGTTTTCTACATTGCTTACAGTATGATAAAATGTAATTTCAACATTTGAATTCCTTTAGGCTTTTTGGTAATTGAAAATATCTTTGAGACATAGGCAGAGGCTGCTAAAGAACTTCTCTGTTTGTGGTAGACAAGAAACCTATGGAAATCTAGGCAATAGTGTTGGAATGGAGAAAGTGAGAAAAGGGGAGGTGAGGAGCAAAGAACTTCAGCTGTTGGGGAATGAAATGCTGAGCCTGTGTTACCTACTGAATGAATATTTATTTTGCACTACACAACTATATTTATCCTGTTTATTGCACAGTTGCTAGGTATCAGGTTCAACAATACTGCAGAATTTAAAATTATGACTTTCAGAGGAGGAAACTGGTATTCAAGAGAAATTAAATAAGTTCTTTGATCCAGTAGATACTAGGGCAAGCCTGAACTAGGTCTCACTTGATCTTGAATGCTGTTCCTTCAGCCAAGGTACTGGCACTGGAGGTAAGGATATAAATAAGACTGGGTTCGAGTCCTTGAGGAGATGAAGGCCTGGTGAGAATCATTCTTGACCTCTCTCTTTCCTCTCACCCCACATCTAACCCATTAGCAAGTCCAGTCAGCTTTAACACTAAAACATATTTTGAATTAAATCAAGTCTCCCAATGGCCACTGCCACCTCCCTCTCAACAAGTAGGGACTGAACTCGGATATCAGAGTCTTCTCTCTCCTGGACCGTTGCTGTAGCTTTCCAACTGACCTCTCTGCCTCCATGCTTGCCCCCTCTGCATGCTCTTCTCCATTCAGCAGCCAGAGAAAACTCTTAAAAGCACAAAGCTCAACAAGTTAACTCCTCTGCTCCAAGCTCTCCAATGGCTTCCCATGACACTTACAATAAAATCTGAACTCTTGACCATGATCGACCATGACCCGACTTGACCTGACTGCTACTCACCTTTCTGACCTCATTATCAGTCCCCTTTTCTACACCCCAGTTACTTCTCTCTGGCCTTTAGCTATCCCTTGGCAAAGCCAGGCTCCCTTCTTGCGCAGGGCTTTTGCACAAGCTCTTCCCTGTGCACATGGCACTCTTCTGACTGATCTGTATATGTCTCAGGCCACCCTTCATTTATGTTTCTGCTCACATGTGACCTCCTTAATAAAAGAAAAATGAATAGGTCATCATAGGTATACAGGGGTGACAGGAAAATGGATAGGAGAATGTTGGAGTGATGGTATGAGATAGCTAAATCCCATTCTATGTATAAAGTGAATTGTGGTAAAGTTAAATGTGATGCAATACTCATGTTATTTAGAAACTTGAGGGTGAATGTCAGAAAAAATAACAGGTATAAAAACAGTTGCCTTTATGGAGTGGAACTTGGGAGTGGGGGAGAAGAAGTAGAACAGGGGATCATTAGTTAGTTGCTACGTTCTTTAGTTTTCTTAGAGCCTGAATATTATATACATGGTTTACTTTGATAAGAATAATTGAAGAATGTCTTTAGAACCAGTTTACAAATTACATAATAAAATGGGTCTTATTTGGGGGTGAGGGTTCAGTGAGTGCTGACTAGGGTTCAGCGAGAATGGGTAGTGACGGGAACTAGAAAGATGTGGTCATGTGTCATTTCCAGGATAGGGCGGGTTGAAGAAATGCATGTTAGGTTGGGACAGTGAGACAAGGACGGAGACAGCATGCATGTATGTGATGGAGCCAGTTTCCAGGGGAAGTGAGATGAATGAATGCTCTGACAGAGAATGGAAGATGGCTGGCAGCATGTTTGATTACATTATATCTGATTAGACAATCTATTTCTTATTTTCATCCAAATGGTTCCATTTAGTATTGAAACATGCTTCATGAATCTAAGCAGAAAATCCACATGTATAGATGGGTCTGTTTTTGATACCTCTTCCTCCTGTTGGATCCCTGAGCGCTCAGCTCAGTCCTGCTGCTTCTCCTTCCAATTCCTACCTCCAAAGACAGTCTGCCTTTCCCCTCAAATACAACCAGAGAAAGTTCTGGAGGAGGGAGGAGAGAGAGATTGTGCTTTAAAGTTAGCTCTTCTGTAGTTTGGAAATGTCCTTTGGGACTGTGAATTGCTGGTCACCCTCAGGAAGGGAGTCTGGAGGGATTTTGTACTGCAAAGCAAAGTACAGCACTCTCCACTGTTTAGCTTGGTCACCTGAGGTCACAACCGAAATTGCCCATGATGATTCCTGCGGAAGAGGACCTCTGGGGAAAAGAAGAGTCATTTTTAATCCTTCATAGGTTCTGGACTCTTTCTTTAGGAGTCATTAAAATCAGTCTATATCATATGCATGTAAGTGTATGCATATGTACCTACAGAATATTTTGATTTGTAGATATTTATTTAAAAGTGAATTTTAGTAGTCTTATTTTGCTTCAGGTTACAAATGTTTTTGTAGGAGTTTGGAAAGCTATAAGCTTCAGAGACTGTCTCTGGTACCTAATAGAGGAGAGTGTTCTGGGCCACTCTGGCAGGATCCCTTGAAGACTCAGAACTTTCGATTTTTTTTTTTTTTTTTGAACAGCCTGTTCCCAGGGCCACTCAAATCCATACCAACTGACTTCCCAAACTTCAAATCTTAGGGTTAGAGTTTTCATTCCTTCTTGCTCAGGGAGGCTTCCGAATCTATTTCTTTCCAGAAGTGTGGATTCCAAAGATGGAAGCAGGCTTAACTAATTCATACACAAGGCTCAGTTGTGCCTTTTTCTGGACTGGAAGTTTGCTCAAAAGCTTTCTCCAGGGGAGTTTCCTTTTCTATCTAGACAGGGAAGTGTCTGGTGGTGATCATGGGATATAAACAATAAAAATAGAACAAGTGAGATAATTCATTACACATGGTAGGGAAACACCACAGAAAAATCCCTTTTCTTAAAGTGGAGGCAAGTAGTACAAGATTCTGAAGGATTTACCATGACTGGATTCCTTTGCTCCATCCCTTCGTCCTAGTTGTGATCCTGTGAGGGAAAAAAAATGAGGTTTTAAGAAGATGTATATTTTAATGCTTATGTTAAGTATATTCGTCTGGAATCAAAGATAAAAGTTTTAGAGGGAACTTGCAAAATTAACACAAACTTATAAAACTGTTTCAGGATTTTAAACAAGCTGCACAGATAAGCCAGACCAACGTGAGTCTTTGTCATGCTACCGCCATGTGCCACTACAGGTATGGAGTTCAACTGGTGTCCAAGGGGAGGCAAGTGGGGTTATCACATATGGGGACTTACTTATATCCCCATGAAGAAGCCAGGAAGGAATGGAAGAAATTGGGGACAATTTTGTGGATGTGAAAACATTCAAAAGCAGGGAGAAAAATGAGAATTCCCTGAACAGACACAGGAACCACCACATCTAGCATGTCATTGGCACAATTCTGCCTTCCTCACACTCTCTCAGACCAGTCAGGGGGTGAACACCTGCATAATGGTGTTGGGGGTGTCCATTTGTTACTAGCCTGGACATTGCAAAGGGTCTTGGTAACATGTACAATAAAATTATACATAGCTTGAAATATCTAAGCACAGAATTAAGTAATATAATTTGTTCATAAAATGGGACTGTCTTTTAAAAATTCCATTTCCTAGAAGAGAGGCTGGTTTTAAAAAGTAATGTATTTTCAAGAAAATTTTGGCTTTAAAACATAAGTATAAATCTAAAACTAATTAAGAAAATGCCAGCAAATGTCTACAAAATACAATGAAATCTAGAAAAGCACAGTACTTAAAACATTATTACCACTTTCTAAGATGATTGCTCTTTACTTCTATAAGTAAGTTATAGAATGAGAGAACATTTATATAAGGCTAAAATATAAATAAGTAATTTAAAATACATTTATAATATATACAGCCTTTGCTAACCATAATGTTTACTTTTCTACATGTACATTTGACATGTGAAGATTAAGTTTTGATCATTTTGCTTCAAATGCTTAGAGATTCAGCACATGCAGATTTTAATAAGGGATAAAATGTACTTGGTTAAGTAATAGTTTATAGCATTACTTTTAATAAGAGGAGCAGCATTTAATTTGGAGGAGGGAGTTAGGATAATTCATAAATTATATAGACAAGTCTTTGCAGCTATTCAGTTTAAAGAATAGAACATAGTTTGCATTATTTAGGAAATTGACACTCTTTTTTGTTTGTTTTTGTTTTTGATACTAGGGATTGAACTCAGGGGCTCTAAGCCATGTCACCAGCTCTATTTTGTATTTTATTTACAGACAGGGTCTCATTGAGTTGCTTGGTGTCTCCCTTTTTCTGAAGTTGGTTTTGAACTCATGATTATCCTGCCTCAGCTTCCCAAGCTGCTGGGATTACCAGCATGCACTCCCGGGGCCTGGCTGAAATCAACTCGTTTATTTTCCATTTTAGCACATAGTACATCTATGTTTCCCTATAAGAATTAGAGGTGGGCCCTGCCGCCCGCGCCTGCAAGGTAGGCAGACCTGCAACTGACCGGCAGAACAGGCCCAGCGGCCCGCCGGCATGGTAGACACGTCACCCCAATTGGAGGAGGGGCAGAGCAGAGCCACCGCCCGCGCTGCAAGGTAGGCAGACCTGCGAACGATGGGAAGAACAGGCCCAGCGGCCCACCGGCGTGGTAGACACATCAACCCAATTGGAGGAAGGGCCTAGCTGCCGCCCGCAAGGTAGGCAGACCACGCGTCCTGGAGAAGGGGCCCAGCGGCCCGTTGGCCTAGTTGAAAGATCACCCCAATTGGAGGAGGGGCACAGCCGCCGCCCACGCCTGCAAGGTAGGCAGACCTACAACCTGGAGAACAGGCCCATCGGCCCGCCAGCGTGGTAGAGGGATCACCCCTATTGGAGGAGGGGCCCAGCCACTGCACGCAAGGTAGGCAGACCACGCGACCTGGAGAAGGGGCCCAGCGGCCCGCTGGCCTAGTTGAAAGATCACCCCAATTGGAGGAGGAGCACAGCCGCCGCCTGCCCCTGCAAGGGAGACTTTGCAACTATACAAGAGCAATATAAATATATAGGGGGAAATTTCAATAACAACAGTTTCACCAAGCAGAAAGAAACGCGAGCAGTATGAAAAGACAAGGAAAGAAAGGACAACAAGCAATGCAGGTCAACTCAACTTTAGAAGAGGTAATAGCTGCAGCAGATGGAATGTCAGATAAAGAATTCAGGATATACATGCTTCAGATGATCTGGAGTCTCAAGGAAGACATTAGACAGCAAAATCAGACAATGAAAGATCACTTCAACAATGAATTACATAAACAAATCCAAGAAGCAAAGGATCAACTATACCGGGAGATAGAGGTTATAAAAAACAAACAAACAGAAATCCTAGAAATGCAGGAAGCAATAAACCAACTTAAAAACTCAAATGAGAATACAACCAGCAGAGTAGAACACTTAGAAGATAGAACATCAGACAATGAAGACAAAGTATTTCAACTTGAAAAAAACATAGACAGCTCAGCGAGACTCTTAAGAAACCATGAGCAGAACATCCAAGAAATATGGGATAACATAAAGAGACCAAACTTAAAGAGTCATTGGGATACATGAAGGTATAGAGGTCCAAAGCAAAGGAATGAGCAATCTGTTCAATGAAATAATAAGAGAAAACTTCCCAGACTTGAAGAATGAGACAGAATCCCAAATCCTAGAAGCCTACAGGACGCCGAACGTGCAAAATCATAAGAGATGAACACCTAGACACATTATAATGAAGATGCCCAACATACAGAATAAGGAGAGAATTTTAAAAGCTTCAAGAGAAAGGAAGCAGATTACATTTAGGGGTAAACCAATCAGGATAACAGCTGATCTTTCAACACAGACTCTGGAAGAAGCTAGAAGATCCTGGAATAACATATTTCAAACACTGAAAGAAAATGGGTTCCAACCAAGAATTGTGTATCCAGCGAAATTAAGCTTCAGGATGGGAGATGAAATTAAAACCTTCCAGGATAAACAAAAGCTAAAAGAATTTGCAGCTGGAAAACCATCTCTTCAAAACATCCTCGGCAAAACATTACAGGAAGAGGAAATGGAAAATAACAATGAAAACCAACAATGGGAGGTAGTACAGTAAAGGGAAAAAATAATCAAAGAGGAAAA